CCCCGGTGGAGCCGGCTGGGGAAGGAGGGAAGGGCCAGCTGCGTGGAGGACCACATGTCCGCCTCCGGGCTGCAGAGGAGCCGCCCCACGTGGACTCTTGGATCAAGGGGCCTCGCCTGGAGGCTGGACTTCGTTGCCCTCCGCGAGCCCAGGTACTGCAGTGTCCTCGCTACAAGCAGGGGCTCTGGGGGAAGACACCCCCCTCAGGACCAGCGGCCCCAGGAGCCGAACCGCGGTGCGTCCTGGTCCCGGAGGTGGGCTGCCTCCCTGTCTGTGCTTCATTCACCTCTCACTCACCCTTCAACACCCATTCTTCCCTGCGGCCTGTGAGGGGCGCCCACGACCCGATGTCTTCCACGCAGAAAGCCCATCTTTCTCCTCCAGGCACGCTGCCTCGCGTCCCCTGGACCCGTCCCCTCTGCCTACGGCGCCGGGACCCTCCTCCTGGAGACGCTGCCCTGTCCGTCCCTGTGCCCTCCTGACCCACGTCTTGCACCCGGGAAGCTGGGCCACCTTCGAGGGCCCCTGCCTGACCTTCAGGCCGAAGCCGCAGGAACCACGATGAAGAACATGCTCGGCCTCAGGCCCCCTCTCCCCTGTCCCGACCCTTTCACCTACATGTTCCAGCGTTTCCACCCAAAACCAGGCCTTCGCGCTGGAGTTTTCTCTTCCAAGAGGCATTATTTCCAAATCCCCTAGGAGAACAGGCCGCCAGCGCTGCAGGAGGTTGCGCAACCTTTTTAAGAAACCAGTGGCTGCCGTGGCTGAGCGGGATTTACTGCCCACGCCCCGGAGGAGGGGCCATCGCTCAGCTTCTCAGCTGGCAGCCCCCCCCTCCCAGCAGTGTCTGCGATCGGAAGGCTCTTCCCATGAGCGCTTCCTATGTGTTCACACCCGAGCATTTCTCTCAGGTGATGCAAATGAAGAGCGTATTTGTGGGGCATGGACAGGCAGAACGCGTTCTGCACGGCGGTGGGCAGCAGAAGGTATTTGACAGACTGGTCTTGTTGACAAACCATAAAAGCAGGTCTTGAATGATGTGAGCATTCAAGCCGTAGACACACAGGGGGAAATATGACTTTATAAAACAGGTAGTTTGCATACATTTTTGTTTCTCACAATATTTGGGCATCGACGAAGCTCAGTTGCCGAAATAAAACGTGGAAATCGCCGAGCCTGGGGAGGGACCTCTGGCCTTCCTGGCTGTTTTGCTGGAACGAAATGGCCAGTTGCCTTCGGTCTCACAGAGGAAAGGAGCACGTCAGATGCTTCAGTTTCCAACAACGATCCTCTCTAACAACCGCCTGCTTCCCCCGGAGCCTGTGCCTGCACGCGGCTCCTCCTCTGAGCTCGCCGTCTCCGCACCGATTACAGCTGGTCAGGCGGGAGTGCCAGGCCCGTTCCTGGGGCAGGAACCTTTGCAGCAGTGACTTTTCTGGTCTTGAAAAAGCCAGCAATGAAGACACTGCCCCAGAGGGACTCCAGACCCCCCGGGGTGAGTCGCCGGCCCCGGTCCGGCTCTGGCCAAGGCCCCTTTGCCCATCTTACTGAGGGAGGCCTGGGCCCACCCAATGCCCCCCTAGGGGCTCTGAGATGGTGAACAAGGAATTTCTTGCAGCCACAAGACCTGGCTTTGGTCCTGACTTTGGAAAGAAAAGAAACCACGTCCCATAGAACAATTGCAATTTTTGAAAAGATGTTTTATATGTCAAAATTCAAAGAAAGCCAGCATCGCATAGATGTCTCCAGAGGGTTCACACCCCATGCACACGTGTCCTCGACCACACACACAAACAACTCTGCCTGCCCCCAGTGCCTCCGTCCGGGGCAGCAGAATCACTCACGCCCCGTTGACAACGTTAACGTGGATGCTTATACCTCTGCCCGTCAGTGAAGCCATCGCGAGTCCCATTTTACAGATGGCGAGACGGAACTATAGTCATGAGGACCGCCCCCAATGCTGCTCACGGATAAATGGCAGAAATGAGAGCGAAACCCAAGCCCTTTCCATCTCAAACGCATCAGTTCGCCTTGCCTTCGTCACGGGGACAGGACGGGCCGCGGGACTTGGTGGGCAGGGATTTTGGAGGCGGGGTCACGATTTTTCAAAGTTTACTTTGTAAGAAATGATAGAAGGGGAAGGGACCTCATGGTTAAGATCTGCACTGCAGGAGCGGCTTTTTTATGTTTATTTATTTAAAAATATTTTTTATTGACTTCAGAGAGGGAGAGAGAGGGAAAGAATCATTGGCAGGCTGCCTCCTGCACGCCCCACACTGGGGATGGAGCCCTCAGCCCGGAATTGAATCCATGACCTCTTGGTTCATAGGTCGATGCTCAACCACTGAGCCACATCGGCCAGGCCCAGGAGCGACTTTTAGAAGTGAACAGCGAAAGGACAAGGGCGGGAACTAGTTTATTCCATTCCCTACTGTACACTGACTGACCGAGTCAGACAACAATGAAAGAGCCGTCATCTGCGTCTCCAGGAAAGACCCGGGTCCCATGCCAGGCTCCCCAACGTGCTCACTGCGCCACTGGCCATCACTGGTCATCACTGGCCACCGCTGACCACCCACCTTCTGCTGAAATGGACATGCAGCTGGGAGGCCCCCGGCTTTAGGATCTGGCTTTGCTCCACTCCTCTGGCCGGGTCTTGCCGTGCTCCACCCACACTCCTCTCCCTGGCCTCCTTCCCTCCTTGGGGGACGTGAACACCCCCAAGTCTTCACTCTTGGCCATCTTCCCTCTCCACTCTTACTGCCCCCCAGAGAGCTCATTAATGTGTAAGCAGATGTTGCCCAAATCAATATTTATCCATGTGGCCGAGTCCCTCCAGCACAGTCTGTGCTACAACACGCACTGGATGCTTCATTTCAGTGTCTTGGTACCGCCATCACCTCCGATTCACCACGTTTAACCATCAAAGGTTCCTGGCCCTGGCCAGGAAACAAAACATTTCCCTTCCCACGCGTCCGCCAATGTCACCACCGCTCCCCGCTCCCCGCTCCCCGAGGTCCGTGGCCGGGCACGCCTTAGACGCAGTCCTTTGTTATCCCCGGAGTCAACGCCTCCAGTCGGGGTTCTGTGCTTGGTTTTAGCTCTTAGCCGCTCCTACTTCTTAACGAAACCCTTTGAGAGCTCTCCTCACCTGCAGGTCCTCCCTCTCCCAACCTGAAGGGAGAGAGGTCTGATGGGAGCTCAACGGGGGCAGGGCTTCCCAGCAAGAGAACAAGAAGGGAAACGGCCTGGGGCAGGAGAGAGCCGGCGGTTCTAAGGACAGAAAGGCAGTCCGTGTGGCTGACACACTGGGAAAGGGAGCCAAGGGCTGGAGGGAGGGTGGGCGGAAGTGCAGGAGGCGGCAAGGCCTGGACCGTGGCGGGTCCTCGGAGGCACAGGGTGGATTTACTCTGAGCGCAGCATGAGCCTGACTCGTGCCGGAACCTTCCCGCCTGAGAACGGAGCATGGGAAGGCTGGAGGAGAGTGGGTGCGAGAGAACTATTCGCGGGGTGAAGGGCGACGCTGAGCAGAGGTTACAGTCAGTGACACTTACAGGCTACAGCGGGGACACTGTGAACAGCGGCTAGCCATCGAGCCCCATGCTCCCCTGTAAGTTTAACTTGTTTAATCCTCAAACAACCCTGTGATGTTTATCCCCACTGAACCAGGGCGGAAACTGAGGCGCAGAGCAGCGAAGCCACTGCCCACAGCCCAACAGATCCTGCAGGTAGGAGGCCACCCACACAGCCAAGGACCAGGGTCTCCGCTGCAGCCGCACACAAAACACCCAGTCCCTCTGGCCAGGAGACACCGGGCATGAAACCCAGACCCGTCCTGAGTCCCCACGTTCCGGAACCTCATCGCCGGATCGCTCCATCTCATTCCTCCTGCCGTGACCACACCGACCCCCCTGCTGACCACTCACTGCCCAGCTGGGTCCCATCTTACGCTCTTTGCATGAGAAGATTCTGCTCTCAACCCAAGGCAGTCCGTGTGGCTGACACACTGGGAAAGGGAGCCAAGGGCTGGAGGGAGGGTGGGCGGAAGTGCAGGAGGCGGCAAGGCCTGGACCGTGGCGGGTCCTCGGAGGCACAGGGTGGATTTACTCTGAGCGCAGCATGAGCCTGACTCGTGCCGGAACCTTCCCGCCTGAGAACGGAGCATGGGAAGGCTGGAGGAGAGTGGGTGCGAGAGAACTATTCGCGGGGTGAAGGGCGACGCTGAGCAGAGGTTACAGTCAGTGACACTTACAGGCTACAGCGGGGACACTGTGAACAGCGGCTAGCCATCGAGCCCCATGCTCCCCTGTAAGTTTAACTTGTTTAATCCTCAAACAACCCTGTGATGTTTATCCCCACTGAACCAGGGCGGAAACTGAGGCGCAGAGCAGCGAAGCCACTGCCCACAGTCCGACAGATCCTGCAGGGAGGAGGCCACCCACACAGCCAAGGACCAGGGTCTCTGCTGCAGCCGCACACAAAACACCCAGTCCCTCTGCCCAGGAGACACCGGGCATGAAACTCAGACCCGTCCTGAGTCCCCCACGTTCCAGAACCTCATCGCCGGATCGCTCCACCTCGCTCCTCCTGCCGTGACCACACCGACCCCCTGCTGACCACTCACTGCCCAGCTGGGTCCCGTCTCACGCTCTTTGCATGAGAAGATTCTGCTCTCAACCCTTCAGAGGATCAGCCCAAGAGGCTGCCTCACCCAGCACCCTTCCTCCCACCCAAGGCTCTCTTCTGCTCACCCTCCCGTTTTGCTCCTTTCCTGGCATTTCTCAGGAGCTCAACTTGGTTCATGGACTCATCCTTTTGTCTGCCGCCACCACCCGCCCCCAGTCTGCGGGGCACTGCCGGTCAAATTCGCGGCTGGGCCCCGTGTGCAGACGTGTATTGAATGAGTTATTCCCACACAGATGAACGCATCCACAGCCTTGTGATCATGATGACTGACACGGGGGGGGGGGGGGGGCGGGCAGGGTGCAGCCCCGTCTCGGGGGGTCTGACAGGTGAGCGATTTCTAGCTCCCCCAGCGCTGGATGGTCCCCGGCAGGTCACGGCCCAGACCCGAACCACTGAGTCCCGCTGCTGAACCAGAGCTCCGATTCACGCCTCTTTGGTGAGAAAGGAGCGAGTCAGCCAGGATCCTCATCTGAGCATTTTGCTCGTTATCTTCCCAGCAGGAAATCGCTTCTGAAAAGCCGAATTAGGACCAGAACGGCGAACTGAGGAGCCCTAATTGGAACTGTCATCACGGGAGCCTGATATTTCCTTCTCGGCTCACGAGTGCGCACCTGCGGGGCGAGCCCGGGAGAGCCGAGCCCCA